AAAGTCAAAAAATCTAACTACAAATAAAAGTAAAACTTTAAAAACACGATAAAACCTAGAAGTGACATTGTGTAGCACATTGTCTGCAACAAGTCGTGATTACAGTTTGAAAACATTTTCCCCAGGCTAAAAATATCATCACTCATGAGAATTTGACTTTCTCTTCCTTTTCTTAAATTTTTCCCTCCTTCAACTTCAACTTGTTTTTATCACCTTCTTCCTTTTCTCCAACTATTCAATCAACTTTAACATTTTATATTCTTATCTTCCTCCTCTAAATTATTTTTTATTTCATTTCACTTCAACTTTTTCTCCTTTTGCTCTTCTCGTACTCTTTCATCCCCCTCTTAATTTGAATCAATTTTTTCTTCACGCTTATTTTTCAATTCTTCTCTAAACTTTTTCTTCTTCCTACATTATAATTTTCTTTCTTGCTGATTTTAACTTCATTCTTTCTCTCTTTTTCCCTCTTTCTTTATTCATTTCTTTCTGTCTCTTTCTCTCTACATTTCTTTTTCTTTCCTTCTTTCTTTCCTTCCTTTCTTTCTTTCTTTCTTTTCTTTCTTTCTTCATTTCTTTTTCTTTTTCACTCTTTTTTCTTTTCCCTTCCTTCCTTTCTTTCTTTCTTTCTTTCTTTCTTTCTTTCTTTCTTTCTTTCTTTCTTTCTCACAGTTAAGCAATGTCGCACTTAGTCAGTACAAGATGAGTTACCATTTAGGAATACCAGGTGCTTTAATCTTGGCTGCGTTGCCCGTGTAATAGATAATGCCTCGGAATGAAAAATTGGGGGGCCAATTTTGAATTCCAGTCAGGTTCATTACATTAAATAAGTACAAATACCCTTACAAAAGGTATGAGTCTACCTCTTTTCTCCCCAGCTATGGGATAAATAGTAGAACATCTCTGAAAATCATTATTTGTACCAAGAAATTAATTAATACAATATTCACTTTAAAAAAAAATATTTTTACAATCCAAAACTATGTTTTGGCTTTAAATAACCTACAAAAGGGTGGCAAACTATAAAAAATAAATCAATTCATCTTCTTTCCTTTTTTTTTCTTTCTACAGATTTTTTCTTAACTATTTTCTTTCTTCCCCCATCTATTTAAATTAAACCACTTGCCATCATTAACTTCTCTATTCCTATTACCTTGACCCTAGATGCCTGCTCATAGTACAGTAGTTGGTGCACATGCCTTACTAATAAGAGTTTCTACCTCACCAAGTGTTTTTAAAATTTAATAGACTTGTGCTAGATTTGTTATGAAAGAAATCAAACTATTAGAATCTCTTGATCTTTCTTTTCTTTTTTTTTCACCTCATATTTCTTTGTCTTCATCTCCTCTTTTCTTCTCTCCTATCCACTGCAGAATTTAGTCTCCTCCCATTTTCACCTCCCAATTTCTGCAGCGTGTCCTTGTCTGGAGTTGCACATCTGCTGCAGCAACAAGTAGAAAGCAAAATCCCACCCACTAAAAAACTTTGATAAATGCAACAATTCTTTAGTTGGTTAAAGACTTTTACATTTGTTCTGATACACTATGTTACAAAAAATATAGAATTTATCATAATTGGGCAGCAATTGTTTTCTTATTAAAGATTACAGACATTCTATGTCTACTGAATTCATCGATTATCTTTTCCAAAATGTGAAATAACCTTTTGCAGATCTGGCTACTGGGGCTTTTTTTTTAATCATTTCATTTGAATCAATGATAACATTAGAATGCAGGCGATTACAGGGAGTGAAAGTGAAAGAGAATGTGAAGACTGACAAGCTGGGGAAATTGATGAAAGAACAAAAAAGGAACAGGGTTCAAGAAGACAGAGGATGGCAATTGACATTGCATTTAAATTTTTGAAGATTGTAGTTATCAGAGAACCAAGTAATTAGAAGTGAGTTCCACAGGTGGGAAGTGTGAGAAAAGAAACTGTTGGAGTAGAAGTAGTGGTTGTATCTAGTTAGTTCAACAGTAAAATGGTGAGACCTAGCTGCTAATCTAGTAGTACAATTAAATTCATGTAGTCGGAGCTCTAGGGAAAAAAAACTCATTAGAACAGTTGCCATGAAAATATTTGTAGAAAAGACAATGGGAAGCCACATCATGTTGATGAGAAAGCTGTTGAATAGGCTATGTTTGGTCAGGTTCGATTACATTACAGATCTTTCTTTGTATTTTGTCAAGAATCTTGAGATATATAGCAAAAGATCCAGACCAAATATGGCAACAGTATCAATGCACAGATGAATGGTAGATTTATAAATATGTAAGATGGATTCTGACAAGCTGCAATCAAAACGCAGAATATCATATCAGCTCATTTATAATGACACTTTAAAAAAAAAATGAGCTACTTGATAATACTTTTGACTTTCTTTCCTTCACTTAAATCTCTCACTCCTGAAGATGACTCAGGTGAGTCAAAACCTTCGACACAGCCTTGATGTCAAATATTTTTTGTGTCTACAGCAGCCAGATTTGCAGAAGTTAGTTCGCAGTTTAGTGAAGATGTTGGATAAATTCGATGTATGATGTCTATCCTTTTTTCATAAGACTTGTTTCAAGGAACACATAAATAGATATTTACTAAACTTATCTTTGTCTGGCATAATTAAAAGGCACCTGGTGAGTATTGAACTCACTACAGCAGTGATGGTCAGCAAGGTTACCTTTTTAAACACTTCTCAGCGACAAGATACCTGCAGATACTGTCAGCAGACATCCAAACCAAAATCATTAAAGAAGTAAGATTATTACTACATGATAAGGCACTTGATATAAGCCAGTACGTAATCTGATAAAATATGTTAATTCTTAGTTATTGCTAGTTTGATCCCTGATGGTAAGATGATCAGATTTCAAATCAACATTGTTTGTCCATTCAAAATGCTACATTGAGTAGAAAATATATTCAGTTTAAATAAAAGAGTCACAAGAATGATGTTAAAAGATACATTTCAGCTTATACTTTTTTCCTGTTATCCAGGATTGTTGCCAGATGAAAAGAGAATTCAGCTCTTGTGACACAGATGTCCATTTCAGTTTCATTCAAAGTGTGTGTCTATGTACATTTGTGTCTGTGCATTTATATTTTAATTCAATGATAGATCAAAAAATAAAACTAAAAATTAAAAAAATTTTTAAGAATTCTATTATTAATAAATAATTTTTAAAAAGTTCATTAAAATTTTATAATTATCTGATTTCTTTTTTTGGGTGAGGGGTTTAAAGAACTATTTTTTTTCTTGTTTCAAATTTAATGATTTTATTGCTCAACCCAGAGTAGGGGTTGTCAAGACGGATTGGAAAGAGAATGTCTTACTCCAATGTCTTATTTCAAACTAAGTCAAATCGCGTGGGTGTGTGGGTGTGTGTGCAACTGTGTATACATTAAATAGCACAGACATAAGTCATTTATGGGCAATATAGATGCAGGCATATACATGACATATGCAGTCACCCGCAGATAATTTGCGTGACAGACAGAGAAAGCAAAATCAATCAAGTACAAAAATTTAAATATCTAGGAAGTGTTTTAACAGAGGACAGAAAATGCAATACCAAAATTGAGATAGTGAAAGATGCCTTACAAAGCTAAGCAAAGTATTAAGAAAACAGGAAAATTTAGTTTGAAACAAAGAGAAGAGTACATAATATCAGTTCCTTTATAGTGATTTTCCAAGCATAGCTTAGATGTGGCACAAGGCCGAAATTAGGGGGGACCCAGTGAGAATCGAACTCACTACTCAGCCGTAATTGTTCTAGCGAGACAAGCTTGCTAACCATTTCACTACCTCGAGGTGCCCATATCAGTTCCTTTATATGAGAGTGAATGATGGCCAGTCTCATCACAGATTAAGGAGAGATTTGAGGTAACAGAAATATGGTTCTACAGAAGGATGCTGAGAATACTATGAATTGAATATGATAAAGTTTTAGAGAAAATGGAAAAAAAAGTATCAGAAAGAGATAGTTGAAATTTCTTGAGTGTATATTGAGGAAAGAAGGCTTGGAAAATTTGATACTCACAGTACATATTTCAATATGAGTATCAACAGGAAAGCAGCAAATAACCTAACTAACAAGCTTGTGTAAATAGTTGGCAGAACAGGGATTAGGAAATTGTGGAGAGCCATGATTGGTCACGCCCTGAAAGGGCACGGCATATAGAAAAAATAGAATGAGATTGTGTAAATGGTTGGCAGAATAGGGATTAGGAGAAATAACAAAAAGACAAAATTTATTAAGAGCTACAAAGAACAAGAAATTGTGGAGAGCCATGATCGCCCACATTCTGAAGGAACATGGTGTATAGAAAAACTAGGGTCAGGTAAAGAAGTAATTTTTTTAACACATTACTTTTTAAGTCCAAGCCAATATTTGTAAACTTTAAGTAAATACTTTATGTAGTGTTTCAATGATCATCATCACTTGATTATTTTGTAATTCCTGAAAATAACAGACACTGCATTGGAAAAAAAGAAACAAAGAAAAAAAAAACTCATGTAGTCATAGAAAAAGTCATATAGTAAATGATATACACAATAAATTATACAGCACTATTTTGATTAACTGTGTTACTTAGAATAATTACTTTGCTACTTAAGCAAATGTAAAAACAGTCTTAGTTGGTAATAACATGAATGACAGATGTCTATAAAAAGGCTCTGTTAATTTGTTTAAATAATGCACTGACTACAGTTTGCGTCACATGGCAATAATTGTAAGTAAAATGATGCACTAAAAAAGTAACCAAGTAATCATTTTAAGTCCTCTGAATATTCCTGTCAATATTATTTTTATTTAAAATAGGTAAAATTTATGATAAATTTATATTTTAATGAACTAAATATTGGTAATCGAAGTTGCCAAGATTTGGTTTATTAAAATAATTCTTTTATAAATTAAATATGATTTTTATTTTATTAAATTGTAGTAATTCAATTAAAATATTACTTATATTATTAAAAATAGTAATTTATTAAAAATATTATTTTAGGAAGGAAGGAAGGAAGGAAGGAAGGAAGGAAGGAAGGAAGGAAGGAAGGAAGGAATGAAAGAAGGAAGGAAGGAATGAAAGAAGGAAGGAAGGAATGAAAGAAACTTGTAAAGAATGTGAAGAGGCAAGAAATAAATAAAAAAGAAGAGATACTGAAAAAGAAATATAAAATTATACGAGAGAGGTTTAGAGAGAAATATAGAAAAGGTAAGAGAGAGAAAGAGAGAGTAAGAGAGAAGGGTAATGGCCAATAAGAATGCTGAAAGAAAAAACTGAAATATAAAATAGACAAGAGAAAAAAAGAAAGAAAGAGATAATTAATTGGTATTTAGAGAAAGAGGAAATATTTAATTATAGTAAAAGGTAGCAAAGGAAGACCTGAGAGAAAGAGAGAGAAAGATATAAAAGAATATAAAAAGAAAAAAAGGGTAAAGGTAAGCTACAACAGGTAGAAACTAAAGAAATGAGTGAGAGAGAGAGAGAAAGAAAGACTAAAGAGGAAAGAAACAAAGAATTGAGAAAGAAATCAAAAGAGAAAAAAGGGTGACAGACGAAGATAAGGAGAAATTGGGGAAAGTAATGTTAAAAAGAGACAGGAAAGAAAGAACTGAGAAAGATAGAGAAGGAAAGAGAAGAAGAGAGGGTAAAAGAGGTAATGTTAGCAACAGGTAGAAAAGAAAGGAGAGAGAGAGAGAGAGAAAGAGGAAGATAGGGAGGAATAGGGAAGGGTAGTGTTAGCAACAGGTAGGAACGAAAGAATTGAGAGAGAGAGAGAGAGAGAGAGAAAGAGGAAGATAAGGAGGAAGAGGGAAGGGTAATGTTAGCAACAGGTATGAAAGAAAAGAGAGAGTAAGAGAAGACAAACGAGGAAGATTGGGAGAAAAAGGAGAAGGAGAGGGACAAAGAAATAATATCGAAGACAGAAAGAGGTAACTTCTTGAAATTGAAGGTGAAATCTAAGAAAGATTTTAAAGAGTAACAGGGAAAACCAGAAATAGAAATGAAAGATACAAAGACCCCACCCCATCACACATAATGCTAGAGACACGAAGAGAATGGTACAGGTGTTAAAAATCACAGACAGAAAAGAATTTACAAGCAAAATTTACCAAAGATATTGATTTTATAGAATTTACAACTTTCCCCAAACTAAACATCTTTTTAATGAGGTATAAAAAATGGTTTAGCATAAAAAACCAAAAATACATTAAACAGTAAGGGCACCTGCTATAAAGTGATGGATAGTAAATTCATCTCACTGACTTCTGCCATTGATCCTCATTGGGTACCCTATTACTGAGAACTTATGCCAGATCTCATACTTTAAAAAGTATCTATAGATACTGGCATAAATTAAATTTAAGGAACACTCAGTGAAGAAGAAATTCTTATGAGTAAAATAAGTATGTCAGCTACTGTACTATGAGCAGGCATCCAGGTTGAAGCTAGAGAGGTAATAATAATGGATTCTAATATAAAGAGAAGAAGTTAATGAAGACAACTGACTTAATTTAAATAAATGGGAGAAGCAAGATAAAAATTAAGAAAAAATTTATAGCCTGGTTTTTCCTTCTTGCTGATTAATATGTAGTAATGAGTATCATCAAACTGGCAGTAAGAATTTTTCTCAATATTTGGGTATTCCTGATTAGGTTGAGTAAGCGAAATAATTGGAAAGAAAGAAAAGTAAGGAAAGTTGGAAAGAAAGAAAGAAAGAAAGAAAGAAAGAAAGAAAGAAAGGAAGGTAATAAATAAAGAAAGAAACAAGTTAAAATTAGTTCAAAGAAATATTAGGATTTTAAAAGAAAAATAAAAGAATTAACAAAAAGGAAAAAGATAAAATGATCAGGAAAAGAGAATGTATAATTTGAAAACAAAGAAATGTGAAGTGTAAAGTGACAGCAAGTTATTTATCAAGACCAATAGTAGTGCAGTGATTTCAAACTTTACTTGTGCCCAACTAAGTTAAGGAGTTGATCAAAATACACACACACACACTATTTTAATGATCAAATCTCTCCCCACAAAAATGCATATATTTAAATAATTAAATATGGCTGTTGTTAAGTTTTTGTTTTTAAAGTCCTCATAGTATCTAACAATACCAGATTGAATCAGTTTATTTTATGTTACTTTCAATTTTACCATTATTTTTTCTTAACTTTAAAATATGTCCTTCTTAATTAGATTGATGTGATACCTGTTGACATCCTTCATTTACATAGTAGCATCATCTATTGTTTTATTTACTGCCACCCATTCCAGCTCTGCCAATCATTCTTTTTCTACCCCGCCCCTTTTGCCATTTCATACAAGCACCTTCTAACCCCACGCCTTCATTTCCTATGATAAGATTCTACTTTTAATGTTTAAATATCTTTGTTAACGTATTCATCACTTAGAAAAGTAGATAGAAAAATACCTATTTCATCATCTACTTTTTAAAATTTAACTTTTCTCATTCTCTTTTTAATCTATTGCTATGCTTTACCTTTGATTTACATTCTTTACTCCAATATTCCTTGCATTTTTTTCCAGAAAGTTACTTTTTGGTCTACTTTGATTTTCATGTTGTTTCATATTTCTACTTTCACTTTCCTTTTTATCTTCACTGTTGTATGTTTTTTTTTTATTATTCTACTTTCAGTTTCCTTCCTACTTTCACTTTTGTTTTTATCTTCACTGTTAAATGTTTTATCATTCTACTTTCAATATCCTTCCTACTTTCATTTTTATTTTTATTTTTACTTTTAAATGTTTTATTATTCTACTTTCACTTTCACTTTACTTTAACTCATATTTCTGCTCTTTTCTATTTTGAGTTTCCTCTCTACTTTCACAATCTGAAAAGTTTCAGTTTTATTTAAGTCAATTTTTATATTTTTTCTTTATGAATTTTCTTTTCATCTATTTCCTCTCTTTTATTTAATCTTCTCCCTTTTTCATTAAATACTAAATGACTTGCTTAATTTATAACACTTCTTATGAGAACTTTCTGTCAATTTTTTGCTTTTCTTTTACTTTTATAAAGTTACTTCGTAGTTTTTCTTATGATTATTACCTGAAACATTTATACAATTTTATATTTCTATCAATTAATTTGAAATAAGATGATAAAGTCAACACAAGCATAATATACATAAGTGACTTTATTCCATTAGGAATTCCTGACCACTGACCAAAATAATTTATAATGCTTTCTTATAGTGAAAGCATGAGCAGCACATTTACATATTCTATCAGTAATAAATGCATTAAGTTTTGGCCACTGATAATTCCTCTCTTCCATATTCGCAACCCAGTAAAATTATTTTAATATTTTTCTATTTTTATTAGCAGTGTATTTTTGTACTACTATTAACAGATGTATTAATTCCTGACCACTGAGAATCCCTTTTTATCAATGCCTAAAACACATATTAAGTAAAAAATATGATTGGATTAGTGTTTAAATATCTAGTTTCTTAATGTGTATAATGACTAAAAGATTAGCTGGAGAGAGGTGAAGTAATGGTAAAGTCAGTAGGATTAGTAAAAAGAAATGAAATAAAACCTTTCCTACCTATATTAGGCTCAAATGTAGTTGATAATAAAATATATTTCTGATTATTACATTATTTATGAACCTGTAAATTTTTCTGTCACTATATATGAAAACATTAGAGTGAAGGAAAGTTTTGATACATTTCTTTAATAAGTCCTACCTGTGATATCATCAATTACTTAAACATTGCTCAAGAGATTTTGTGGCATAAGTAATGTATGTGCGCATAAAACATTTTTTTCGCCATTTATATATTTACATTCATAGGAGTACATGAAATATTTCAAATACCTATGATGAAAAATGCATATTAATTACAAATAGATAATAATTCTCCCCTCTCTCTCTCTCTCTCTCTCTCTATATATATATATATATATATATATATATATATATAAAGTAGCATCTTAAGTGATCTGTATATGTTGAGCATTCAACTTATAAGAGACTGTAAAAAGCCCAAAATAGAATTGTAAAAAAAAAAATAATAAACTATAAATTTTCAATAATTAAATTATTTTAAACTGATACATTATTCCATATCAGTTTTTAAAAAAAATGTTGCTGAAAAAAAATTATTTGTGAAGTAACTTATTAAATAAATGTTCTATAAACAATTTATGCATTTTCATAAGTTGAAATTAAAAATCAATGCATTAATGACAAAAAACTGCTCTATTAAATTCTATATACAAAATATATAAACAAATATTTGTCTTGACAAACTTCATAACTTGTCTTACAAAAGTAAAACTTTTTTTTAACCCATATCCATTTTTTAACCCAATTTTCCATATAAATCTAAACTATAATTACAAACTACAATTTTGGAAGGTGAAAATTTCCCTGTATTATGTTGGACAATTTCCAAGTTTCCATCTGAAATCAGGAAAATATGAGTATATTAAAAAAAAAGGCGCCTTTAAACTGACACTAGGAGGATATGAATTAAAATAGAAATCTAAAATATAATTTTAATCTTTATCTAAGCTATAATTTTAAACTATGAGTTTAGAAAGTGAAAATTTAATTAAAATATGTTGGGAAAATTTTTTTCAGTTTTCATCTAAAATGAAAAAAATATGAACTTTAAGCGAAATAATCACAATATATGGAAAAAAAAACAAGGATGGTGTCAGTTTAAACTGCTGCCATGATGATATAGTTTAAGAAAGTAAAGAATTATTTTTTTTTAAATAATTTGATTTAGGTAATTCATTTTCCAAAGATGAGGATAATAGTCAAGAAAAGTTGATAACTCATAGATGAAGGCATTACTGACACGTAAAAAAAGTAGAAGGAAGGTCAGTTTAAAACTTCTGCCATATGCAAACATAAGTACTTATTTTATATGCATAATTGAGTCATCGCTACAGGTGAGAAATTAGATTGGATGTTTAATAATCATGATTGTCAATCATACTACATCTGATAGATTTCCATATCTATGAGATATGGAATGGTTGGGATTATATATCAAATATTTAACATGCAGCCACTCAAATTTAGTCTGACTTAGTTAAAAGAACCCAGTCAAGATCAGATTTACTGTACATTAATCATATCTACTAGATTGACTCACTAATCATTACCCCTCCTCCTTATTATATTCCTTTTTTATAAGATTCAAATGAGACAATCAGTTAAGGGTATAAAATAAACTTATCCTTGCCTTTGTAGTATATGTTATCAGTTTCATCAAATTATAAATTGTATGGGTTTTTGGCACAGAAAAACCTATATATTGGTCATATAATGTCAGTAACAGTTAAAAGTAGATTCTCATAGTCTCAGACCACTTTACAGTTTGTTATTTTTTCATATACTGTTTTTTGGACTAAGAAACATTATGTTTTGTTCAAGAGCAACTTGGAGTAAATTGAAGAAGGAGTTGGCATAAAGCTTTTCTTAAACAAGAATTATTGAATTGAAGAACTTTTTTTATTGACAAAGTGTTATAAGATTATGAAATGACTTTGAAAATAGAGTTATGAAAAGTAAGAAAAAAAATGTAGCCTTTCTTTTGTAAAAAAAAAGAAGAAATTATGAATGAGATATGATAGTAGAAAAAATTTATCTGAAGACTTTCTTTCTCTTTTTCTTTCTTCCTTTCTTAATTTATATCTATCAGTCTATCTGTTTATCTATCTCAGTCTGTTCATATCTATCTATCTATCTATCTATCTCAGTTTGTTCATATCTATCTATCTATCTATCTATCTATCTCTAGTTTATCTCAGTTTATTCTATCTATCTATCTCAGTTTGTTCATATCTATCTATCTATCTATCTATCTCATCTATCTATCTAGTTCTATCTATCTATCTCTCAGTCTGTTTGTTCAAATATCTATCTATCTATCTATCTGTTCATATTTATCTCAATCAGTTCAAATACCTATCTATCTATCTATCTATCTATCTCAGTCTGTTCATATCTATCTCAATCAGTTCAAATATCTATCTATCCATCTATCTATCTATCAGTCTATCTATCTATCTCAATCAGTTCAAATATCTATCTATCTATCTATCTATCTATCTATCTATCTATCTATCTATCTCAGTCAGTTCAATCTATCTATCTATCTATCTATCTCAATCAGTTCAATCTATCTATCTATCTATCTATCTCAATCAGTTCAATCTATCTATCTATCTATCTATCTATCTATCTATCTATCTCCAGCTGATCATATCTATCAGGATTCTTATGTTTAACATGATTTCCAAGAATTCTCCTTCTCTTGCACCATCACAGATTCAATTTTAAATTCTTTCTTTCTTTCTTTCTTTCTTTTTATTTCATTCTGACAGTTGCACTCATTCTGAGCTGACAAAATCCGAAAATGCTTCAAGAAGGATTTTAAAAATCGCCATCAGATTATTTTGCCGACATGCCATAAGAAGATAATCAGAAATTATTGGAATGATGCATTGGTTCACAGCAGACGGGAATTAAAAATGCTTCTAAGGAAATTTCTGACTTCAGAAATGATCAATCAAATAAAAGTTGAATGATGATGATGATCATAGTGGTGGTGATTTTGATGATGACTTTGTGCCTTGATTCATTGGAGCAGTAAAAAGAAGTCTTAAGTAGCTTATAGCTACATTGTAACAAAGTAGAAACCAACAGATGGATGCACTTCACTGTAAAGTGGCACTAAAAAGTGCAAAAAAAATCACTATAAAACTTAGCATAGTGTCAGTACCGCTTGGCTTTCCACTGAACCAATCAGAAAATTCTGAAAACAGTTTGACTATAGTAAAGTGTGCTGGAATATTGGGGAGACTTGCTATCACATGATCCCCAGTGCAAGCTACTAGATATTACTGGTGGGAACAATCAAGCCAAACTGATAATGGTTCAGAAAAGTCCAGAACAAAAGCTAATGGAACAAGAAATCAGGAGAAAAATGCTTGTGCCATCTAGAATACTGAGGAGAGTCCTGGAGTATTGGAGGAGACTTGATGTCAGTTGATCTCCCCTGAAAGTTACCAGGTACTCTTAGTGTGAACAATCAATGAGTGAAATAATAACAGTCTGGAAAAGTATAGAAAAAAATGCTAAAGGACCTAGAGGTCAGAGGAAGAAATACTAGTGTCATCTAGAATACTGAGGAGAGTCCTGGAGTATTAGGGAGATGTGCTGTCATTTGGAAAGCCATAAGTTACTACAGGTGGCAAAAAACCCAAGTGGATTATTATATAAATATTAATAATGATAATATAAATAGTTATGACACGATACATTAACAATACCATTAGCAGTGACCTACCTCATGGCAGAGGTAGTTGTATGCTTCTTACTAGCACAAGTGTTCAAGCCTGGGTAAAAAATTAAAATTTAAGATGCTGATTTTCAAGGCAGGTAGCTACTCCCTGCTTGGAAGATGAGTGCAATTTTTTTCTCCAGTTTAGTTTCATTTAGCTTAAGTAAATATCGATGACATTAATAATAATAATAATAATAATAATAATAATAATAATAATAATAATAATAATAATGAGTGCTGCAGTCCAGAGAAAACTTGTTGTCACTTGATTTCCAGTGTAAGCCACCAGTTACTATTAGTGTGAACACTCACTGTGTTAATATCAATAGTGCTAATAATAATAATAATAATAATAATAATAATAATAACAACACTAATAATTAAAAACTACTCTGAGTTGAAAGTTAAGATGGCAAGATTGTCTGGAACGCAGGAAGAGAATGTCAAGATGATTCTAGTAGTGACTGGCACACTGGGTTCGATCCCATTAAAACTGTGTGACTTCATTGTCCAGCTGGAGATATGATACCAAGTTGGAGTTATCGACTCTGTTAGGGAAAGTATTGTCTGTTTGAGCTCCTTGCCATGGCTTGACAAATAACTGGTATATGGTATAACTGGTACATGGTATATTTGAAAACTTATACTGTGTAACAAAATACTAATACTAATACTACTACTACTAACAATAATAACGAAGGTGATGATGAGAACTCTCTTGCTGTGGGGAGACTTGCTATCACTTGACCTTCAGTGTAAGCTATCAGTTACTAACAATTTGGGCACTAAATGGAATAATAATAATAATAATAATAATAATAATAATAATAATAATAATAAGCAAACTTATAATAATATAAATGATAGAAAGTTGGCACAAAACAATATCCAAAGATTTTTTGATCTATTAATATTTTTTTTTAATGACTTTTCTGGTTATTTAAATCCAGAAAATATATTTTAAGAATTTTTTTTTTTGAGATAATAATGATTTACTGATACACGTCTTGCTAATTAAACCATAATTGGGAGGAGAAGGGGCAGATTCATACCTTTCCAAAGGGTATTTGCACATAAGTGAATATACCATACACAATGAGAATCAGAACTCGGCTCTCCGATTAACAATTCTGAGCCATTACCCATTACACCACCTGCACATCAATGATTACAGCAACTGATATTCCCAAGCAGTCACCCATCTAGGATACTGACCAGGCTCGACATTGCTTAACTTCTTTGATCTTATGGGAGCCAATGTTTCAACATGATATGATCATAAGCCTTATGTGAAGAAGAGTGCGGCTATTAGTGTCATAAATGGCAAAGACTAAAAAGAAAAAGTCTTTATTTCTCTATGACCAACAATAGAAGTAGGAAAAGTTTTAATTTCTTGGTGATGTTGTCAGAGAGTAATTATTGATAAATATAAAGAAAAAGTAATATGTGTGTGTGTGTGTGTGTGTGTGTGTGTGATATCTAGAAAAAGATTGCAATAAATCAATATATGGTCATTATCTCATGAACAATATTCTCCTGCAGGAAACACCAAAAACAAGTTGACTTTATAAACTTCTGTCTCTTTGAAGCATCAGGTGAATGACATGTATTCAATAACAACCCAAAGTACCGATAATGATGATGATAATGATAATAAAAACCAATATCCTCTTTCCGCATAATATTCACAGTAAACAGTCTACCTTTCCTTCATTCATTTTAATAATGATAATGATGATGATAAGGAAGTTGTATAATGTTAATAATAGAGATGATGATTATAGTATTTGCAGTGGTAATAATAATAATGATAATAATAATAATAATGATGATGATAATAATGACATGGGAACAAAAAAGAACCACTTACCTTTGGAGAGATGATAAATGCTTCAAAATCTACAGAAAATATTTTTAAATTATTTAACTCTGAAAATTTCTCTGAACTAAATTTTTCCCATGCTAGAAGCCACATTTGTTACCTCTAAGCAAAAGAAATACGACATAATGACAATGGCACTGAAAAAATATTATAAATAAATAAATAAATAAAACAAGTAATTTAAGATGAAGAAAAGTCCCTGTGAAAGTTGTCCAACAGTCTGTGTTTTGAAAACACAAAAGAGTTACAAAATATGGCTGGTGTTTTATATTTTTTATAGTCCTTGGTTAAGCTGTGATTTCTTTTTTTTTTTCTTTTTTTTGGTGGAATTTTATTGTTTTTATATTTTCATTTTTTCTTTCTTTTTTTTTTTTTTAAAAAAAAAAAAATCTTTAGACATTTTTCTTCACATTAATTTTGTCCTTTCTTCTCCATGTCTTTTCCTTCTGGATAATCTACAGAACTTCTTCTGTAGGGTTCTTCCTCATTCAAATTTACAGATTTTAGAGACAGGCAGAGAAAAAGAAAAGGAAAGAGAGAAGGAAAATACAGAAAAATAAAAAGGAAGAGATAGAAAAAAAATGGAAGAAAAGAAGTCAAAAGAAAGTAATAAGTAGTATTCAGTCAAATAAAATTTTGAAAAGTACATATATATAGCAGACAATTGACCAATCACAGCAGTAGACTGTGGATCAATTTGAAAGACACTTTCTTGCAAATAAACAAAAATCAATGGCAAAATAAAGCTTGCCATTACTTCTACCAACAGGTGGTGATAAACACTGACTCCAT